CTACGTTGTTTAGTATTAGTTTGGCAGCCATCAATAGTGAACGCTCTCAGTACATTTGTAAACATGGAGAAAATTGGTCATCGTTATGTGATACAATATTTTCATTTGAAAGGTCTCAGTCCAACCAATATCAAAACTGAGCTAGATTCTACTCTGGGGGAGTCTGCTCCCTCGTTTACAACAATAAAATATTGGGTGGCAGAGTTTAAAAGAGGCCGTAAGAGCTGCCAAGACGAACATCGCAGTGGTCGACCAAATGAGGTGACCACGCCAGAAATGGTGACGAAAATCCACAAAATGGTATTGGATGACCGTCGACTGAAAGTGCGCGAGTTAGCTGACATGGTAGGCATATCAAAAAGTGCTGTACATCGCATATTGACTGAAAATTTGGACATGAAAAAGCTGTGCGCACGATGGGTGCCGCGTTTGCTCACAATTGAACAAAAACAGCGTCGTGAGGATGTTTCAATCGAGTGTTTGGCGATGTTTCGCAGTAATAAGGCCGAGTTTTTGCGTCGATTCATAACCATGGATGAAACATGGGTTCATCATTTCACACCTGAGACGAAAGAACAGTCGAAACAATGGACTGAAAGGGGAGAATCGGCTCCGAAAAAGGCGAAGACAACTCCATCGGCTGGCAAGGTTATGGCGTCAGTTTTTTGGGATGTGCTTGGGATAATTTTCATTGATTATCTTCAAAAAGGAAAAACAATCAACGGCGAGTATTATGCGTACTTATTGCAGCGTTTGAGTGATGAAATCAAGAAAAAACGTCTGCATTTGGCGAAAAAGAAAGTGTTGTTTTATCATGACAATGCGCCGACTCACACGTCCGTTATTGCGATGGCCAAAATCAATGAGTTAAAGTTCGAATTGCTTTCTCACGCACCCTATTCACCAAATTTAGCCCCCTCAGATTATTATCTATTTCCAAACTTGAAAAAATGGCTTGGTGGTAAAAGATTTGCTAACAATGAAGAGGTGGAGTCTGCGGTTGATGGCTATTTTGAGGAACTCGATGGTTCTCACTATAAACATGGTATCGAAGCTATTGAACATCGCTGGGAAAAGTGTATCGAGCTAAAAGGGGACTATGTTGAGAAATAAAGATATATTTTTTTAAAATTTTTGTTTTCTTTGTTACACACACACACACACACACACACACACCATACTCTCCTCCGGGCATTTAGTGGAGACGTAGAATGGATTGATGTGAACATAAAAGTCCTATATCGTTTTGCGAAATTCGTAATAATAGTCGAGTAATTAATTGTGAATGATTAAAGAAAAGCGTGTGCTGAATGGTAGAGGACGGACCGCTTGAGTCACAGCGCAGCCCAATAATATAGCGCGCGGATGTCGCGCGTGGCGATTGTAAAACAACGCACCACTGCCTATTCTTATATCGTTGCGCTCCTACATCTTGGCGCACCGTGTCGAGGCGAGATGTAGGAGCACAGCGGTATAAGTATAGACAGTTTTCTTTTATTAAAAATCTATGTGGTCATTTATAAAATGGTAAAGGACTTTTTTGTTCAGTTTGACTTAATGTATAAGTAAACAACAGTAGACGGCGGCACTGCAGCTCATCTACCATATTGCGCGTGATCATTCACCAATCTTTTTTAATTAATATCTCGACTAGTATTGCGAATATCGTAAAACGGCACAGGACCTTCTTGCTCACCTCAATCCGTTTCTACGTTTTCACAAAGGGTCATCATGGAGGTCTGAGACTCTCTGTATAATGTATCAATACCATCTTATACACATACATATAAGGTATCTGACACGACACGCCAATGAGTATGTGCAGATAGAACACGCCAATTTAAGCAAAAAGACTTCTGTCGTTTTTTATACAACTAAGTAAAATTTCGAGATATTAATAAAAAAAAAATTTGGCGAATCAATACGCTTGACGTTGTGGGACGAGTTTCTTAGACGCTAACTCGTCGAAAATCATTGAGATACCACTCTCTTAGCAACGGTGACTATCAGTTGACAATTGAAGACGAAGTGAGAATGCGAGTGATACGGAGATAATTGTTTCTCGATATATGTGCAAGTTGTTAAGAAACAGTCGCAAGTCTCAATCATTTTCGAGGAATTCGCATTTATAGAGCTCGTTCTACAGCATCACGTGTACTGATTTGCTAATCCTCTTGTATTAATATCTGGAAATTTTATATGGTGATTTAAAAAATGATAGAGGACTTTTTATTCAAGATAGCTTGTTTTATATGCACACTCGTGTATTGGCATGTCTTGCATCAGACATTCTGTTTGTGTATATATAATACAACGTGATTCAAAACAATTTCTAATCCTTGAAATGTCATTATCTTGAAAGAATTCTAAGACGATTTTGGTAAATATTTAAATGAACGGTAAAATTGCAGTTTAGGGGTATCAGCTCCAATTGCCTTGATCTTGATATATGTTATAGAGATTAACTTCCTGAGTAACCTTGAGAAGATTTTAGCCATCGCTCGTTGTTCGTTAAAAAGTTATTAACAAAAGAATTTGCATAAAATGTAATTTTTGAACACCGTATATAGAAAAACATCGAATTTGTAGGCTAGGAAAATGCCTGTTTTTAGCCGTGTGATTGGGGAGTACGCCCCCCAAACTCCCTGCACCGGTCAGAAAAAACGATAATCTTTTTTTTGTGAGAAGTTTTCACTCTAAGATATATCTTTTTTCATAAAATTTCTAAGATATACATTTCATGTATACAGTGTGAAAAAACTACACCATATTTGCGATTCTTTTGTTTATAACTTTGAGCTTAAGCACAAAGAACTGTGTTCCTCCCCCGGTCCGACGTAGCCTCCCAATCACACTAGAGACAGGCACTTTTTTTATTAGTATCTCGGAAACTATAAACGACCGTCATATAATTGCATTAGAAAAACTTGCTCAGAATTGCATCCTTTATAACATATTTCGAGATGAAGATGATTGAAGGTGGGTAAGTTTATCTAAACATTTATCACAATTTTTTTTCTTTTGCAAAACGTTATCCAAAACTAGTGTTTTTGAATTATAAAAATAAATCGAAAAGTTGTAAATAAATCAGTTATAAATCGGAAAGTTGGAAACTGGCAGAGTTGGAAATGTTACTTCAAAAAAGTTACTGTTACCGTTACTGTTCGTAAAAAGTAATTCGTTACTGTTACTCGTAACTAATATTAAAAAATAACTCGTTACCGTTACTAAAAAAGTAACGGTGTTCGTTACTTTTTCATTACTTTTTTATAATACTAAAATAAAATATGCGATTGATTTTAAAATTGATTTTAAAAATGATAGATTTTAAATTGAAATTATTGTTTTTAAGTTTAAATTATTATTTTTAATGTATCCAGTTTATCAAACTATACAAAACTGTAATCCAGCCTCGGAGAACTAATATTTCTTTATGAGCTTGATTCTATCTTCTTATTTTTTTTATTATTCTTCACATAAAATTTATTTACCAAGTTGGTACAGAGTCAGATTGTGCAATCTGGCTTTAAAAATTTTTTATTTAATGATAAGTATATGCTAGTGTAATATGTACACATTTGTTCCATAGTTTCTTACAAAAGAACTAAGTAAAAATTTATAAATAAAGCTAAATTACAAAATCCGACTTTACACCAACAATCTTTTTACATGCAGAATAAGATAAAACTATGTACTGTCTTCCAATAAATATTGAGGTATTTTTATCCAATCAAGAATACCAAATACACGCTATTAGCGCATTATCTATTGAATAAAAACAACTAAAGTAACAATAAAAGTGACAATTAAATTCGTTATCGTAATTGTAAAAATGTAACGGTGTTATCGTTACTATTACAATCAGAAAAAAGTAACGATCGTTAGAAAACGTAAAGGCATCGGAGTTACAAGTAACGCGTTAAACGCTGTCAAACAGACGCTTATGTGAAATGCCTAGTGCGGTTAGCTAATCGTTAGGTAACACTTCATTTTTCACACATATTTCCAAAGTTTATTTTCCAATTAGAAAGAAGAAGGCAAATCGAATAACACATAAACGAATATTTTATCCTTAACATTAACAATTAATGTTTTAACTGTATTCTACTGTTAATGTTTTAACTGTATTTAAAACATTTTATTTATTGTTTCGATTATCGACGATTATCAATAGAAATTATAAACATAATATGTATGAATATTATATGTGTATATTACATGTATTAATCAGCTAATCGCCAGGTGTCCCTATGTAAGTGCTTGCGTCTGACGGTGAGTTAGTTGTTGTCTTTAACTACCTTTTGTATGTAATCTATAGTAAGCAAACTATTTATTTTTATAACTTAGAAACTAAATATTGAATAACATTTTGTAAAAGGAAATATCGTCTCAGAATTCATTCAAATATATGACATTTTAGGAATAGGAAATTGTTTCGAATAATAATAATTTGAATAATCTGCATGCGCATGTGTGTGTATGTGTATGCATGTATGTAAATAATTGTTGATTAAGAGATAATATTGCTGAGTTAGATATAATTAACCAATTCTCTTTTACAGAATTACAAACGAGTTATAGAAACGTGGTTTGATGAAAAGCACAAAGAATTTTTTTATACCAGAGAACCTTTGGCTCGCTTCCTCGATCACGGCGATATATCTGAACAGTTAATTTTTAAAGAACGAAAAAAATGTAAAAACTTCCAGTGGTACATGGATAATATAGCATACGATGTGCTAGACAAATTTCCGGAATTGCCACCGAATATTCACTGGGGAGAGGTGAGCTTGACAAAATATGACTGACTGAGTAAATTAATATCACTCCTGTAAGTTGCGTTAATTAATCTATTTACAAACGAAGTATATTATAGTTAAACTATCAGATATCTAATCAGTTAAGGTATGGAATAACTAATAAGAGCTACTGCGGATTTTTGTGCAAAATTTAAATTATTTAATTTATTTTTAGGATAATAATCTCTAACAGTTTTACATACGACAAAATATCTATATTAATTACTTCTTGTTCTATTTAAACATCAATATTCCTTTAGCTGAGAAATGTGGCAACTGGATCTTGTCTAGATACTATGGGTCATGCACCTCCAAGTCTTATGGCTACTTCTCACTGCCACGGATTTGGAAACAATCAGGTAACTCACAAATATTTTTTTATATATTTTATTATGTTACGATACACACACACACACACACGCGCCACGCACACACACACACACACACACACACACACAGTGTCTGGTAACTGATTGAGCAGCCGCCGTGTACAGGTAGAACAGGTCAAAATAATCATAAAAGTTATATACCATTTTGAAATTTTCTAAATATTTACTCTGTAATTAATGAAAATGTATAAACGAATCAGCGTACGAGAAGCGGTAGGGCAGGCTCTGTGTGTGAAAGAAATGGCTTACCTCTTAGCAACGATAAATAAACAGCTGATTTCGAGGCGGAGTAACAAGCGACACGTAGCATGCGGCCGCGCGCCGAAAAATTATTATCCTCCGTGACAGATTCACGTGACTCTCCGGGTTTACATAGGAAAAAAATAATAAAGCGCTATCATTTCCTCACCACCTAGCGGTAGATAGCACGGTGTGTTTTTTTTTATAGTGGTATCTCCAGTAGGCCTAATCCACTCTCATTATTTAATGCAAAAATTGCTCGAAGTGTCGTCCGTTCTACTGTAGGCAGAGTTCGGCTCTTTGAACAATATTGCGCATTGCACGATGCGCCATTTTTGGCATAATAGTACCGAAGGTACAATAGCTGCACGTACCTCGTTTTCTCTACTATTACGTCGATGTTCAACTAGATTTTTTATATGACCCCATACAAAAAATCTAGCACGTTTAAGTCTGGCAACCGTGCCGGCCAGACGATGAGTGATTGGGCCACCACGACCCATCCCCTTATCAGTATAACGTGCGTCTAATATATCGCGTACTTGTCGAGAGAAATGCGCAGGAGCTCCGTCGTGCTGAAAAATCAGCTGCGCCCGTGTGCGAAGAGGCACATCGGCGAGGAGTACCGGCAACTCCGTCTCTAAAAAGTTAGCGTATATTTCGCCATTTAAACGCGGTGGCAAAAAATACGGACCAATCTAGAAATTATCGACGAAAATGTTTAGATTTAGTGGCGAAAGAAAAGTTTTTTATTTTTAACACTCACACATACCACTTGATCCGCGATCATTCCCGCCCATACGTTGATAGACCATCGATTCTGAAACGCACCTTCGCGGACGACGTGAAGATTTTCTTCGTCCCAATGTAAAAAATTACGTATTAAATACGCCGTTTGGCGTAAAAGTCGCCTCGTCCGTCCACAAAATACGGTCCGTGAAAGACAAATCTCGATGGTATTGCGCGAGAAAACCTGCGTGTTTTGCCGACGGCCGACGGTTACAATTCAATAAAAATACTGCGAATATAAAAAATCAATAATCACAATACTTTCACAAAAATTAATTCTTTGTTGTGCATCTCCTGGCACCAGCTGTTGCACACGCTGATAATGGTACGGGTGCAATCCGTTCACACGTAAAACGTGATAAACCGCGTACCATATTTTGTGGACCGACGAGGCGACTTTTACGCCAAACGGCGTATTTAATACGCGTAATTTTTTACATTGGGACGAAGAAAATCCTCACGTCGTCCGCGAAGGTGCGTTTCAGAATCGATAGTCTATCAACGTATGGGCGGGAATAATCGCGGATCAAGTGATATGTGTGAATGATAAAAATAAAAAACTTTTCTTTCGCCACTAAATCTATACATTTTCGTCGATAATTTCTAGATTGGTCCGTATTTTTTGCCACCGCGTTTAAATGGCGAAATATACGCTAACTTTTTAGAGACGGAGTTGCCGGTACTCCTCGCCGATGTGCCTCTTCGCACACGGGCGCAGCTGATTTTTCAGCACGACGGAGCTCCAGCGCACTTCTCTCGACAAGTACGCGATATATTAGACGCACGTTATATTGATAAGGGGATGGGTCGTGGTGGCCCAATCACTTGGCACGGTCGCCAGACTTAAACGTGCTAGATTTTTTGTATGGGGTCATATAAAAAGTCTAGTTGAACATCGACGTAATAGTAGAGAAAACGAGGTACGTGCAGCTATTGTACCTTCGGTACTATTATGCCGGAAATGGCGCATCATGCAACGCGCAATATTGTTCAAAGAGCCGAACTCTGCCTACAGTAGAACGGACGACACTTCGAGCAATTTTTTCATTAAATAATGAGAGTGGATTAGGCCTACTGGAGATACCACTATAAAAAAAAAACACACCGTGCTATCTACCGCTAGGTGGTGAGGAAATGAGCGTGCGTGCGTGCGTGCGTGCGTGCGTGCGTGCGTGCGTGCGTGCGTATATAGTATAATAGTAATATTGTACAGGGTGTCCCGTCATTACTGCATTATCTCTGAAGAACAGATTCCTAAGGTAATTCGAAGAAAAAAATACTAAACATGTCGAAGCTATGATACTTTTCAAATTGTAAACGATTAAAGTTTAAAGATTGACCAATTATATTGGCTAAAATGCGCACGCTCAGTTACGGTACAACACACAATGGTACAGGTGCATACACATAAATGAGAATTTATATAAGATATAAAATTAGTTGTAAATCTCCGAAAGAAACGTCAAATGTGTGACAAGTTATTGCTTCGCATAAATATATTGTGTTATATTTTATTCATAACATTTTGACGAAACTGTTATTATTTGCGATATGTTTATTTAAATGATGGAAAAGGCAGATTATTATTACAACCATTATTTTATGTATAGAATTTCCGTATCAATATTTGAAAAAGGGATGAGATATGCATGCACTTGTACCACTTTGTATTGTACCGTACCTGAGTGCGCATACTTTAGCCAGTATAGTTGATCAACTTTAATCGTTTATAATTTGAAAAGTATTAAAGCCTCGATATTTTAGAATTTTTTTATTCAAATTACCTCAGGAATCCACTCTTAGGAGGCACGTATTTTTGCGTAACGCGTAACCGCGTAACCAATTACATCTTTCTTTTAGAAGTTCCAACAGAAATACTAAACGTCGCAATTTATTGGTTACGCGGTACGCATAAAATACATGCCATGGAACTTCAGCTTTAACTTCTTAGGTACTATACGCCAATATTGTGGCTCATTTTTATTCCTAATAATTTATAATTTATTCACCTAAAACTGTATTCTGATGTATTGGGTTGTCGGGAAAGTCCGTGCGGATTTTCAAGCAAAATTGTAATGACAAATTGTTTTAGTCAAAAATAATTTTAATCTGTAACGTATGCACCATTATTTTGCACAATACTTTCCATCTTTCGGGTAATTTCATAATTCCTCTCTGGTAGAAGTCCTGGTTTTTTTCGGCGAAGAAGCTGTCCAAGTAAAAAAGGCGTTCCAAAGAAGCAAAGTTCAAACCATTAAGGGAGTTTTGCAGCGACCGAAATAAATGATAATCAGAGGGTGCAATATCGGGGAAATACGGTGGGTGAGGCAAAACATCCCAGCCAAACTCCAATAATTATTGCCGAGTCTGCAAACTTGTATGAGGTCTGGCATAATCATGATAAAAAACGACGCCCTTCCTATTAATTAATTCCGGACACTTTTTGCCGATTTCTATCTTTAATTGATCCAACTGCAAACAGTATTTTTCCGAATTGATCGTTTGGTTGTCTGGTAACTCATAGTATACTGTTCCCTTCCAATGCCACCGAATGCAGAGCATAACCTTCTTCGGATATAAACCGGGCTTCGAAGTGGTTAATGCCGGTTCACCTCGCTTGCTTCACCTTTTCCGCTCGACGTTGTTATAAATAATCCATTTCTCGTCGCCTGTTACGATTTGTTTCAAAAATAGATCGTATTTGTTGCGTTTGTATAGCAAATCGTTGATGGAAATGCGATCAATACGATGTTTTCCAGTTAACTCGTGCGGCACCCAAACATCGAACTTCTTTATCATTTGAAATTTGCTTAAATGTTCGGAAATAGTTGACTTGCCGATTTTTAACCTTGTTGCGATCTCCCGAACTATGATTCGCCGATCAAAATCGATTAAAACTGTTATTTGGTTGACATCCGTGATAACTGGCCGATCAGAAGCATCTTTAATATTTATTTCTCCTGAACGAAATTTAGCAAACCACTTCTGGCACATGCATTTGTTTATAGCGTCCTTTCCGTACACGGCACATATTTTTTTTCGAGTTTGTGTCGCCTTGTTGTTCTTGCCTTTATGAAAATAAAAAAGCATAATGGATCGAAAAAACACGTTATTTCCTTCCATCTTCAAACTGATGCCAAGAGGAATGTCTTTCTTTGTTTGTGATAACTAATATTACTAAATATGCGTCGCAGTATCATTTATCAAAATATCAACGCATCTAACACATCGCATTAAAATAACTTCCTCGAATTTGCCTTTGAACGCCATCTATTGAGAAATCCGCACGGACTTTCCGGACAACCCAATACTTGCGTAGTGAAAAGCATTACCAGACATAAATCGCAATGTTGCATTATTTACGCGCAGTCTGCGTCAAATTTTGCCGTACAGCTCTGTAGAAAATCCAGCCGTACCTAAGAGGTTAAGGAGACATTCTATTTTCTTATCGACAAATTTTACTGATTTTCAGGAATTTTTTTTATAGGAAAATAACACAGCAATTTGAAACTTTGACATTATATTGTAGTATCCTCAAATTGTACAAAATAAAAATTTTTTTGTTTTTTCAAGTTTGTTAATACGAGTTTTTCTCGATTGCGAAAATGTTTCCAAAAACTGCATGCTCGCTAGTAGTTGAGTAGAGGACTTTTTTGTTCAGTTTGATTTAATATATAAATATAGAACGGCAGACGGCGCCACTGCAGCTCATCTATCATATCGCGCGTGATCATTCACCAATCTTTTTTAATTAATATCTTAACTATTATTGCGAGTATTGCAAAACGATATAGGACTTTTATGTTTATTTCAACCCGTCCTACATTCCCATTTAATGTGGAAAAGAGAGTCTGGGACACCTTGTATATGGTATACTTTCGTGTTTAGTATTAAATGTTATATTTGATTTTACATTTTTTATAACCAGCTTATGAGGCTGAATGCAAAGGGTCAATTAGGTGTTGGTGAAAGATGCGTTGAAGCCGATGGTCAAGGTGTAAAATATGCATTTTGTCGTCTAGGAACTGCAGATGGTCCATGGCAATATGACGAAGTAAGCTTTTACTGTTTCACAAAAAGTTTTCAGACGATTATATTAACCCTTATCCTGTAAAAGTTTTTTTTTTGCAACCTCATACTGTAAACGGGGGTCAGATTGACCCCACTCGTTTTTGAGCGGGTAAAAGTCTCTGAAAAAATCTGAAAAAATTCACTAATATCTTTAAACATTCCAAATTGAAATCTAAATAGAAACATTGTACAATAGTTTGTTTAAATATATTATTTTTGCAAACATATGAAATGAAAAGCGAAAAATATACTGTTATGATAAAAAATTTTAATTATTATTTGAAAAAATTATCATAGAGCAAAATATCCATAATGGGAAATTAATATTTAGTGATCAGACTTTCATGAAAAAATTAATGAATTTAATATTAATAATAACGATTAAGTGCTTAAGTTTAGGCTTAAGTTTGCAACATAAATTGTTGCAAATTTTAAAATATCAAGGTCAGGATTTGAGGATAAAAATTTTTTTCTTTACTTTGCACTATTTATTTTGTGTACAAAATTGTGTCAGTATACAAAAATAGATAGTTTAGATAAAATACGTGAAAAAATAAAATAATAATTAACTTTGTGAAAACACGTGTATAGCGAGAAATATGCTGTATTTAAAAGTTAGGTCTACATTTATATTCTTATATTCTTCATATATATCTTATATAATTATTCATATATTTTCATAAAATAAGTAAAAACAAATTTTATAAAAAAATATTTACTTGCACGAAAAATATTTTTACACTTGCACAAAGTGCAAGGGGATCACAGGCCCACGGACAACTTTAACCATGTCGCGTTTCAGTATACAGAGACGCAGGTATAATACCGCCATGTACAAGCAACGATCTCTACTTAATATAATTTTTTACAGATAGGACCAATAGTTTGAAACTCATTGGTTTAAGACAGGACTCGGAACAGTTTGTCAATTTCGGCCGATTCTCGGGAGCTACGCCTTCTATCTCCCCCTTGCCACGCAGCGGGCCGCACAAGTGACGGTCGTGCCTCTAAGCTTAGAGCCGCGACTGGCCGCGATCGTCACTTGCGTGAGCCGCTATGCGGCAAGGGAGAGATAGAAGGTGTAGCTCCCGAGAATCGGCCGAAATTGGCTAACTGTTCCGAGTCCTGGTCTAAGAGATACAAGGAATTTAAAAAAATGCTGGGGTCAATTTGACCTTCTTTACAGTGTAAAGGTTAATTATATATTGTCATTATACAAAGTGTCCGGTAACTCACAGATGAGCTGCCATATACAGGTAGATTAGGTTAAACTGAACAAAAAATTCCTTTATTATTTTGCAAGCAATCACGTAAAATTTTGAGTTATTAATCAAAGTTATTAATCAAAGAAGTTTGGTGTACTAATAATGCATTAATAATGTTAATAATAACAAGCTAAGCGTGTTAATGCATTATTTTTTTTAATTAATAATTAAACACCTATATGATCATTCGGAAAATGGTAGAGGACTTTTTTGTTTGACCTAATATATAAGCATAAAGCGGCAGACGTCGCCATCACAATTCATTTATCATATGGCGCGTAATTATTCACGAATCTTCTTCAATTAATAACTTAGAATTTTATGTGGTTGTTTGCAAAATGAAGAATTTTAGAAGAATTTTTTTCAGTTTGACTTACTACCGCGACTTCTCTGTATGTTACTTGTATATGTTAATAATTTATATAAATATTAATATATTTTATTGTTATTTATCATGTTTGTAGAAAACAAAGACTCTATTACACAGAGTACACAAAAAATGCATGGCACTTCATCCCCAAACCCAACAATTATCTCTAATGCCGTGTGACATCAACAATACGTACCAGCAATGGAGTTTTCATCAAATACATCCACGATGGTAATATGGAAAAAAGATTCGAACTTCATGGAACTTTTAAATTATTTTATTATTGAAATTTATAAATTATTACTTCATTATCGAAATTTGTAAATTATTATTTAACAAATTATGCACAAATTCACAAAAAGTGTACTTTTTATCGTGCATTGCAAGTTCAGTAATTAGATATATGTATGTGTACACACATACATAGGTGATATAACATAAAATTTATTCACTTCAAGGATAGATTTAAAAAAACAAGAAAGAGGTTCATATAAGCATAAATAAAGATTTAACTTTGTTTTCGAGTTAAGTTCTAAAATAATTTGTTTAATAACTAATATTTGTTGAACTAATATATCTAATCCTACTCAACTGTTTGTAACAAACAGATTTGTAACAAACAAATTGTAACAAACAAATTGATTTTGTTCACTAATCTCTAAACAATTTTTTATAAGAATTATTTAGATTTAATCTGTCATTTTCAAAGGACCCCGCACAAAACCTATGGAAAATAGTTTTCGGTCAAATTGGCTGAAATTTCACTATGTTATAGTTTTCGCCATGCTGATAAAAAGTTATCATTGCACCAAGTCCCAAAAGTCAATATTTCCCAAGATATAAAAGGTCAAAGTAGTGAAATATGATCATCCGCAGTAGTAAGATGTATGTTATAAATATAAGTGATACATTAATATTTATTCACGAAATAAATAAAAATCGATTTTTACATATATATATGTAATAAATATTTAGTTCCGCAATAT